CGTTAGTGAAACTGCTCAATTATGAAATATCAATTTTACCCTAATTTTGATTAGATAATTTTCAAATTTCTTTTTTCTAAATTTTTCTTATCTAAGTCACTTATTGACATGGGGATAATATTATATGGTTCAAATTTATATATAATGTTTATAAGATTGTAAATTTCCTGTCAAAATACAAACTTGAGACATTAATTATCATATATTATTTGGCTTGCGAGTGCAAATACACATTCACTTGTTTTACTGAAAGTCTGAAACTAGACTACTAGAGGGAGAGGCGGGTTCAAGCGTTGAACACATAAATATTAAATACAATAACATAATAGCCCAAGCCCTTAAAATTAAAAATTAAAAAATAAAAGAGTATAGTTTGAGTAAGTGAAAGCACGGAGATATGGAGGAGGGTGCGTCGCTGCCATCAGGTCCCGACGGCAAGAAGCGTCGTGTCAGCTACTTCTATGAACCTACGATCGGCGACTATTACTACGGCCAGGGCCACCCAATGAAGCCACACAGAATTCGCATGGCCCACAATCTCATCGTCCACTACGCTCTCCACCGTCGGATGGAGGTCAACCGTCCTTTCCCTGCCGGACCCTCTGACATCCGCAGATTCCACAGTGACGAATATGTTGAATTCTTGGCCTCCGTCTCACCCGAATCTTCCGGTGACCCGTCGTTTTCGAGACACTTGAAACGGTTCAATGTTGGAGAAGATTGTCCCGTGTTTGATGGCCTTTTTGGGTTCTGCCAGGCCTCTTCGGGCGGCTCCATTGGAGCTGCTGTCAAGTTGAATAGAGGTGATGCTGATATTGCTTTGAATTGGGCCGGTGGCCTTCATCATGCTAAGAAGAGTGAAGCCTCTGGGTTTTGTTATGTTAATGATATTGTTCTTGGCATTCTCGAGATGCTTAAGGTTCACAAGGTAGTGTTTTTCTTTCTTTCTTTTGGGTTTTGTTTTGTTTAAGTTTGCTGTCAGTTTAGTTTTTATTTAATGTTGTATTTGTTAGTTTGTCTTGAGGAGTTGGTAAAATCATAGGCCACTTATGATTTGTTTTTTTTTTTTTTTCTGGCTTCCGGAATGATATAAATTTCTGCTTTGATTGTTGTGTTATGTTTGTTATGATTGTTGCTTGATTGTGTAGTTCAGATGATTGAAGCTGCTTTGTTTCCTCAAAAAATTAACAAAAAGATGCCTTTTCTTATTTACTGGTAGATTTGTTGTTAGTTTGGGTTTCATTCAAAACAAATTGTTTATTTACTGATAATATTTTACTCAACATAAAAGAATTGATGAGACGAAAGACACTGTTTGCTGCTGATATTTTGCTTACAAATGCTCATAATTTTTTTTTTTCTTTTTCAATGAATTTTCTGGCCTCCAATTCTCTCTATCAAAAAAAATTAAATTCTGGAGGATAGCTGAAATAGCAGTTGTCGATTAATATGATATTTACTTTAGTTTTTGCTCAGATTTATGTGTAGATTCGAATACTTAATATTACATCACATCTTGTTGACTGATTGCATTATTTTATATCTTATTGTAGAAATTCGTTATTAGAACTTGCCACCATCCTTTGTGGTCTAGATTAGGGTTGTAATAGGATCAGCAGAACATTCTTATCTTACATATTAGAAAAGATTTTACAATGTGTTTATTAAACCTTTGTTTTTCCTTTTCTGTGTTTTTCATGGAGTTACTGTATATTTTTCTGAAGACTCTGTTTCAATGGCATTGGGCAGCGTGTGTTATATGTTGATATTGATGTTCACCATGGAGACGGAGTTGAGGAGGCATTTTACACCACTGACAGAGTGATGACAGTTTCTTTCCATAAATTTGGGGATTTCTTTCCTGGGACTGGGCATATCAAGGATGTTGGGGCGGGGCAAGGTAAAAATTATGCCCTGAATGTCCCACTGAATGATGGCTTGGATGATGAAAGTTTCCGTGGTCTGTTTCGGCCTATCATCCAAAAGGTCATGGAAGTGTATCAACCTGATGCAGTTGTTCTTCAGTGTGGGGCAGATTCACTGTCTGGTGATAGGTTGGGCTGCTTTAACTTGTCAGTAAAAGGCCATGCTGATTGCCTTCACTTCCTTAGATCCTTCAATGTTCCTCTGATGGTCTTGGGTGGAGGAGGATATACTATCCGGAATGTTGCTCGATGTTGGTGCTATGAGGTCTTCCCTTTACCTTTTTATAGAGATTCTTAAAAAAATTGATGTTGACAAATAAGGAATGTTGTCCTTATGAATTTTTTCAGTCTCTTTGTTGCAGACAGCAGTTGCAGTTGGTGTTGAACCTGATAATAAATTGCCTTACAATGAATATTATGAGTATTTTGGACCAGATTACACTCTTCACGTTGAACCGTGCAACATGGAGAACCTAAACACAGCCAAAGACATGGAGAGAATAAGGTGATTTTGTGCGTTTTATTACTTTCTAGTTTTTATATTAAATTTTCGATTAGCTCTGATACTGCACTTTCCTAATTATTGTCATGTACACTGAATTATTGGTACTGTTACTCGGTCAGTGTTAAGGTGGGGGTGTATGATACATTATGCATGTACGTCTTTTTAGCTAATATTAATTCGGCAGCCATGCCAGCTAGCTGAAAGTTTTAGTTTGTTGTTTGAGGGCTATCGTTCAAGCACTCTACCGTCATTTTTTCAACTCCATGGAGGGATTTTGTTATTTGTGGTTCTCAAGTCCCGGTGGAACTAGGCTAACTCATCTTCTATTTCTTCAAATCAGTGTACTAAATGCATTGTATTGGAAAATGGAACCAAGGAGCCTCCCTTTTGTTATCTTATGTCCTTGGTTTTATGCATTTACCTTGACAATTGTAGTTTATAGTTACAGTAGAATCTTTCTATAATAATACTCTATATGGGAATAACCTCTATTTAGTCATAAAAAAATTTGGTCCCAATTTGAGCCTGTTATAAATAAGAATAAATTTCACATTGTAATAAGTTATAATTTTTCTAGATCCTGTCTTAAGGAACTTGCCTCTACATAGCAATAATTATATGTATATTGTAAAAAATATATGTTATGTTATATTAAAGGTTTAAGATGAAATAAATTATTTATCTAAAGTTGTTTGGGACAATGATTTATGTTTTAGAGTTGTTACCACATCTTTTATCGTGCGGGTACGTAATAAGTCACCAGTACGGACACTTTCTTGTTGAAGCCAAAATATTTCTAGATCTCAAGCATGTTTAGAGCTTCTTGGCTCAAAATTTTTGGTATTTCTGTATTATTATCCTCAGGATTATCTCCTTTCTCTTCTTGTTTAATTCCAGTAATGATTTCTTCTTTAGTAATTAAAGCATACACAACTTGTTGCTCATTTGGATGATTGAGGAAGACATTAATATTCATTTAATTAGTGTAGTGAAGTTGTCGAATCTGATCATACAATTTTACAATGACTCTTTGATATCCATTTTCGTACTATCTAATGTTACTAAAACAATGAATTAAAATCCTAATACTACTAAAATATGAAGTATAAAATAATAAATCAGAACAATAATTTTTTAATGAAAACAATAATTTTTGTAGCTAAACCTCTATTAAATTATAACCTCCTCATAATAATAAATTTAGTTGGTCCCAACATTATGACTATAAAAAAGTTCTACTGTATTTGCTTTTGGCTTCAAATGCTCTATATTTCTTTCGCCTTTGTGCAACATGCAATTTAATCATTTGCATTGGTTGCTCAATCTGCCCCAATCATATGCTCACTTGCATGGCTCATTTTTGTTTTAAAGTTTCTGACAAAGACATTTTCTTCCAGGGCCACACTACTTGAGCAACTTTCTAGGTTATCTCATGCTCCCAGTGTACCTTTTCAGACAACACCACCCATTACAGAAGTTCCAGAAGAGGTTGATTGCCAGTGTCTAATTTTTCATATACTTCCCTTAGACATTGTCTCTTGGCCATATCTACTTTAATTTTGACAGAATGAGATTTATTTTTTTGATGTCAGCCCGAAGAGGACATGGAGCAAAGACCAAAACCTCGCATTTGGAGTGGTGAGGATTATGCGTCGGATCATGAGGAGGATGAGAAGCCTCCACAAAAAATGGTAAAAGTTGAGATGAGGTAAGTCATAAGATTTCTTAACGGTATATACACAAAATGGTCTTGTCTTCTCTCTTAAAATTTATCACCATTTTTGAAGGGGATGACAGTTTAGTTATGGTCTGATGAGTTCTTGGGACCTGTGTGCTGAGGGTAAGATACGGAGAAATTAATGGATTGGGAAATAGTCTTGCTAATAAATTTGTTAATTTTGATTTGAGTCTGCACTCATTAAAATTGTATCTCCCTTTTTTCTAATAATTTGATTATTTGAGAATTGTATAGACAAAACTCTTAAGTTATGCTCATTAGCATAATAAAATAAGTTCTTTGTTTTTTCTTTTGACAGGGATGGTCCGGATGACATGGAAGAAGATAAATCGGGACATCATCCATCATGTTGACATCAGTGTAACAATGTGGCATCTAATCTCCAGTATTTCTGTATCATGTAGACATGAGATCTATCATCATCTCAGAGCTATTTACAGTAGATTTTTCAAGGAGGCATATTGTTAGATTCTTTTGATGGAGGCATTAGAGTAGGAAATACAGACAAGATTAAGGCATTTGTTGCCCGTCTGTTTTGAATTTAAGATGTGTTAAAATTAATCTTACATTCAGTATTCAAACATAGTATCAATGTATGATACATACACTGTGCAGGAAAACATACATGGTGATGTTATGATCTGGAATTGAATTTTGTTTTATATCTATTTTGTTAATGGCTCTTTCTACAACAATACATCACTCTTCATGATACCTGTATCTTTATCAGCTTCGTTGTTTGAACTTATCTTAATTTATCCTTGTATCTATTTATCGTAACACAATTTCATCATTTGCAAATGCCTCCAATTTTAAGAGTCGAATAATTCCCATTAAGAACATTTGAACGTAAAAATTATTCTCGACTGCCGTCACTGGATATTATGGGCCGCCAAATGTTCTAATCCCGTGCGCCGAAGTTAGCGTTAGTTCCCCACCCGCCACCGTATAAATTTACATGTCCTTCACCAAACTACCCTGATTGAAGAGAAACAAAGTGAAACATAATGTCAATAGGGCTTTCAACTCACCAAATTAGACCATTTATTTCTAATCCACTTAAAATCTCCCGCCATTCTCTCCACCACACCCCACCGAAACAACTCCGCCTCCGCCCATCGCCACTCAAATCCCAACCCTCTCACCAGACCAAGACTCAAGACGATGGCGTTCCCGCCGATGACGTCAAAATAATAGCCAAATTCAGGTCAAGACACAATTATATCCGTGTTCTAGAAGTTTCCAGAAAAACCGACCACCCTTTTGCAGGCTCTAGACTTCTCCTTCTTGACGGCCCTGGGAACATCCAGAGCGTTTCCTTTCTCTTCAAGTCACTCACCAACACGTACTTTGATGTTTTTGCCACTTTACCTCCCATCCTCCCACCTGGACCAATAGGTATTTTGGGTTTCGGGGCGGGCTCCGCGGCCCGTTTGATATTAGAATTGTATCCAGAAGTTGTTATTCATGGGTGGGAGCTTGACCCATCTGTGATAAAAGTAGCAAAAGAGTTCTTTGGACTTGTAAAACTGGAAAAAAAATACCCAGGTAGACTTTTCATTTATGTAGGCAATGCGTTGAATGCTAGTATTCGAGAAGGGTTTTCTGGGATTTTAGTTGATTTGTTTAGTAAAGGTAGTTTGTTACCGGAACTCGAGGATCCCAACACGTGGGAGAAGCTGAGGAAATGTTTGAGAAAAGGTGGGAGGGTTATGGTTAATGTTGGAGGTAGTTGTGTGGAGGCAGAGGATTCAAGAAGAGATGGGAAGGTTGTTATGGAGGATACTTTGAAGGCAATGCAAAGAGTTTTTGGTGAAAATCTTTTTGTTCTGCATCTTGGAAATAGGAAGGATGATAGCTCAATTGCGCTTACCGGTGAATTGCCTGATCTTGTTGCATGGAAAAAGGCACTACCGCACTCTTTGAAGTACTATGTTGATATGTGGATCCCATTTAGCGAATAGTATGGTATGTTCGGGTTTTTTTATGGGTTCATTGGTGTTTGTATGTCTAAATGAAATGGTGGAAGTTGGTGATATATTATTGCGCATCTTCGATTCGTGTTTATGTCTATATGAATCCACATTTGATATTTGATTGTTCATCTCTTCTCTATTATATACCTGACATATGATACCTTATAATGTTTTATCCTTTACATATTTTACTGTGGGAACATAATGGATTAGATTCATTAGAACGGTGTTTTAGCTTGCTTTTCCATTGTGGATACATGGGTACAACTTAAGTTGATGTAGCAATATAATCATCCACCTCGACTGATAACTATGGCTTCCATGATTCTTTATAGCTTCCTTTTTGTCAACTGATATCTATCCATAGTCCATTGAGTGCACTTTGTAACTGATGAATCCTGTGAATGCCGTTTTCTTAGCCATTTTCTAAAAGATGAAACTTCAACTCAGACAAGCGACCCACTTTTAGCTCATTTGTGTGAAGTTGAACCATTAGAAGCACCATAAACACACGTGGGAAATCTGGTAACTTAGTTCTGGGTGGTCCAAATTAGTTTTTAACAGGTTGAATTTAAAGTGGATTCTGTTTATGATTTTGCTCTTATGCCGGTTATCAAAACTGGGCCTTGCTGATGAGAAATCTCAGCGATTCTAGTTATCCTTTTTGTAATGTGAAGCTCGTGTAAATGCCACATGTGTGTACTTGCGAGAAAGAAGTACCACGTTATCTGGGTGTTAAGGTTCTATCCTTGGACTTCTTTAAATGCATTTTGGACGGATGTGTTTAACAGTGACCCTCAATTTAAGGAAGAACTGCTGGCTGCGTCATCCCACTTCGTGCTCAAGAGGATTTGAGTTGGTAAGCTGGTTTATTGGTAGTAGTAAACTCGTTATCATAAGCTAAAAAAATTCATCAAGTTGCCTTTTGGTAGCTTCTTAGAATAGTCATCTTCATCACTTATAGTTCCAGCTGTACAAATTAATATTCAAATGGCATATTGGATGTTGATTGCGTAGCTAAGAATTTCATAAGCTTGAGTATTAAACTGTGGAATTTACTGACGGTGACTCCTATTTTTAGTTTGGTTCTCTTTTGTCCTTCATTTGCAACCTAATCTTTCTGTAGTCCATGAGTCACTAGCCCTCGTCTGAGTCGTTCACAAACCAATGAGCTAAAGAGGGCGCCCTCTTTCTGACTTTTGTAAGTCTTCGAGAGATCTGTACATATATTTGATTATAAAACTAGGAGTTGAAACCTCAAAATCCAGGTAAACTGTTGAAAATTTGTACCTAAGCACATGTTATAATGGTTTTATTAATAGTCTATCCAAACCTAACTAAAATTGTTTATCTACAAAACAAATAGATTAAGACAAGTTGGCTTAACATTAGAGTAAAATCTTTAAATCCTGCAGTTTCCTGCTTCTTTGAAGTGTTTTGTGTTCATAATAAAGGTTAACTGACGGTCTGCTACTGCTACGTATCTCCTTCCCTCCCATGATGAGTGGTTTTCAGGCTAAGTTGGCAGCAGCAATCCTGGTGGTATTTCTGGTGGTGAATACTAGTGCATTACTGCTAAATGGTATTCTTCTAATTCTTATTCTGAAAATCCATTTGCTCCACAGACTTTGATAATCTGATGTTATGGTGTTCATGTTGTTTTACTATATATTATTTTTGCAATTATATAATTGCATGTTATGTGGTCTTTTAAAGTCTAATCTACCATTGATTTCTCTCTTGCTATGCCCGAAAGGTTGTGAGAAGAGCTTGTCCTGTCATGGAATCATCTCAAGGAAGACATTTCCAGGAAAAGAAGGTAGCTTAGGAAGTGAAAATGTGGGATTTCTGTGGACAAAGAAAGTGGGCTTTCGGGAATTGAGAGCCATCATCCGACAGTCTCCACCTCCTCCTGCTATAGGCAGACGATCGGCATTTAATTCACGTGCACCTCCTCCACAAACATTGTAGTGCTTTCCTATTCATGCTGATTCCAGCAGTGTTCAATAATTCAACTCGGTAGTTGCAACAAAGAAATTAGTGTAATAACAGGATGTTTAGCTTATGGACATGCTCATCTTTTGATCGTATTTGAATCATGTCTCTACTGGTGTGTAAAGTAATATTTCTTATTCATAACTCCAATGGGTTGACCTGACAATCAAGAAGGTTTACTCCCTTTATTGACTTCTTGGGTTCAAATTACATTGGGGTTATCTATCACATTTGTGTCTTATCCTGAAACATTAGATTGGTAGAGTGTTCAATAGGCCCCCACAATAGATCCTCTGAGATTAGTTGAGATATGCGTAAGTTGGTTCGGATACTCTGATCATTGGAACAAATATTTCTTATTCATCTCTTTTTAATGGGTTTTGGATCATCACAAATTGTCTTATCCACCTCATTTGATGGGGATTGGATTTGTTTTTTTTTTAACTATTTTAATTTCAATCTAAATATGAGACTTATAAACCTTATGTTGATACAAGATTTTGCATCAATTAGAGCGATCCGATTGACCTTGACGGAATCAAAATGGATGTGTGCGTGATTACAGATAATCAACAATGTAATGAATTAAGAATAGTAAAGTAGATGACAAAAAAAGTTTTTAAAGTGGTTACACGAATTACACTCTTGAGCTTACGTCCACTGTCTTTGTATTTGTTGTGAGAGCTTACAATAATGATTCTAGAGCAATTTGTTAACCATTTTCTCATCGTTGGAGGGGGTTTATATACAGATTTTGCACAAAGGAAAGAGCGAATATAAAAGAATTACAATTAAGATTGAAATGCGACTTCGATATTCTCGCGATTAAGCGCTAAGATTGCTGTCGATATGATCCCTTCCAAGATATTTGGGATTTGAAGTTATCTGTGAGCTAGTAGAACAACTGTCGAGATTGGTCACGACTAGCTTATGCTGGGGTCGAGCTACACCTCAACGAGCTTATGCTGGGTCGAACAATCGATTGAGTCGAACTGATTCTGAATCGGACTATAGCCTTGTTGACCTTTGACTTCTTCAAGCTTGATGGAAAAATCACACACAACATCTGCCCCCTAATGTTCGGTGCTCATTTCGAGCTTTGAAGACTATTGCTCGATTTAATTTCAAGCCTAGACTTCGTCGATTGTGCGTTGAATGCAGATTTGATTGGGCTTCCTAAGTTGGACTCATCTCTGGTCGACGTCTCTACACTTGGCGTTTCTTCTGCTATGATATTCTTGACAAACTTGGAATTTGAAATGAAGGGCATATGTGTAATTTCTATGCGGTTATGGCGCATTAAATGTAGCAGCCTTTGGCAGTTACTTTTCGTCATGCATAAGGCAATGTAATCCTTTACATATTTTACTGTGGGAACATAATGGATTAGATTCATTAGAACGGTGTTTTAGCTTGCTTTTCCATTGTGGATACATGGGTACAACTTAAGTTGATGTAGCCATATAATCCTCCACCTCAACTGATAACTATGCCTTCCATGATTCTTTATAACTTCCTTTTTGTCAACTGATATCTATCCATAGTCCATTGAGTGCACTTTGTAACTGATGAATCCTGTGAATGCCGTTTTCTTAGCCATTTTCTAAAAGATGAAACTTCAACTCAGACAAGCGACCCACTTTTAGCTCATTTGTGTGAAGTTGAACCATTAGAAGCACCACAAACACACGTGGGAAATCTGGTAACTTAGTTCTGGGTGGTCCAAATTAGTTTTTAACAGGTTGAATTTAAAGTGGATTCTGTTTATGATTTTGCTCTTATGCCGGTTATCAAAACTGGGCCTTGCTGATGAGAAATCTCAGCGATTCTAGTTATCCTTTTTGTAATGTGAAGCTCGTGTAAATGCCACATGTGTGTACTTGCGAGAAAGAAGTACCACGTTATCTGGGTGTTAAGGTTCTATCCTTGGACTTCTTTAAATGCATTTTGGACGGATGTGTTTAACAGTGACCCTCAATTTAAGGAAGAACTGCTGGCTGCGTCATCCCACTTCGTGCTCAAGAGGATTTGAGTTGGTAAGCTGGTTTATTGGTAGTAGTAAACTCGTTATCATAAGCTAAAAAAATTCATCAAGTTGCCTTTTGGTAGCTTCTTAGAATAGTCATCTTCATCACTTATAGTTCCAGCTGTACAAATTAATATTCAAATGGCATATTGGATGTTGATTGCGTAGCTAAGAATTTCATAAGCTTGAGTATTAAACTGTGGAATTTACTGACGGTGACTCCTATTTTTAGTTTGGTTCTCTTTTGTCCTTCATTTGCAACCTAATCTTTCTGTAGTCCATGAGTCACTAGCCCTCGTCTGAGTCGTTCACAAACCAATGAGCTAAAGAGGGCGCCCTCTTTCTGACTTTTGTAAGTCTTCGAGAGATCTGTACATATATTTGATTATAAAACTAGGAGTTGAAACCTCAAAATCCAGGTAAACTGTTGAAAATTTGTACCTAAGCACATGTTATAATGGTTTTATTAATAGTCTATCCAAACCTAACTAAAATTGTTTATCTACAAAACAAATAGATTAAGACAAGTTGGCTTAACATTAGAGTAAAATCTTTAAATCCTGCAGTTTCCTGCTTCTTTGAAGTGTTTTGTGTTCATAATAAAGGTTAACTGACGGTCTGCTACTGCTACGTATCTCCTTCCCTCCCATGATGAGTGGTTTTCAGGCTAAGTTGGCAGCAGCAATCCTGGTGGTATTTCTGGTGGTGAATACTAGTGCATTACTGCTAAATGGTATTCTTCTAATTCTTATTCTGAAAATCCATTTGCTCCACAGACTTTGATAATCTGATGTTATGGTGTTCATGTTGTTTTACTATATATTATTTTTGCAATTATATAATTGCATGTTATGTGGTCTTTTAAAGTCTAATCTACCATTGATTTCTCTCTTGCTATGCCCGAAAGGTTGTGAGAAGAGCTTGTCCTGTCATGGAATCATCTCAAGGAAGACATTTCCAGGAAAAGAAGGTAGCTTAGGAAGTGAAAATGTGGGATTTCTGTGGACAAAGAAAGTGGGCTTTCGGGAATTGAGAGCCATCATCCGACAGTCTCCACCTCCTCCTGCTATAGGCAGACGATCGGCATTTAATTCACGTGCACCTCCTCCACAAACATTGTAGTGCTTTCCTATTCATGCTGATTCCAGCAGTGTTCAATAATTCAACTCGGTAGTTGCAACAAAGAAATTAGTGTAATAACAGGATGTTTAGCTTATGGACATGCTCATCTTTTGATCGTATTTGAATCATGTCTCTACTGGTGTGTAAAGTAATATTTCTTATTCATAACTCCAATGGGTTGACCTGACAATCAAGAAGGTTTACTCCCTTTATTGACTTCTTGGGTTCAAATTACATTGGGGTTATCTATCACATTTGTGTCTTATCCTGAAACATTAGATTGGTAGAGTGTTCAATAGGCCCCCACAATAGATCCTCTGAGATTAGTTGAGATATGCGTAAGTTGGTTCGGATACTCTGATCATTGGAACAAATATTTCTTATTCATCTCTTTTTAATGGGTTTTGGATCATCACAAATTGTCTTATCCACCTCATTTGATGGGGATTGGATTTGTTTTTTTTTTAACTATTTTAATTTCAATCTAAATATGAGACTTATAAACCTTATGTTGATACAAGATTTTGCATCAATTAGAGCGATCCGATTGACCTTGACGGAATCAAAATGGATGTGTGCGTGATTACAGATAATCAACAATGTAATGAATTAAGAATAGTAAAGTAGATGACAAAAAAAGTTTTTAAAGTGGTTACACGAATTACACTCTTGAGCTTACGTCCACTGTCTTTGTATTTGTTGTGAGAGCTTACAATAATGATTCTAGAGCAATTTGTTAACCATTTTCTCATCGTTGGAGGGGGTTTATATACAGATTTTGCACAAAGGAAAGAGCGAATATAAAAGAATTACAATTAAGATTGAAATGCGACTTCGATATTCTCGCGATTAAGCGCTAAGATTGCTGTCGATATGATCCCTTCCAAGATATTTGGGATTTGAAGTTATCTGTGAGCTAGTAGAACAACTGTCGAGATTGGTCACGACTAGCTTATGCTGGGGTCGAGCTACACCTCAACGAGCTTATGCTGGGTCGAACAATCGATTGAGTCGAACTGATTCTGAATCGGACTATAGCCTTGTTGACCTTTGACTTCTTCAAGCTTGATGGAAAAATCACACACAACATCTGCCCCCTAATGTTCGGTGCTCATTTCGAGCTTTGAAGACTATTGCTCGATTTAATTTCAAGCCTAGACTTCGTCGATTGTGCGTTGAATGCAGATTTGATTGGGCTTCCTAAGTTGGACTCATCTCTGGTCGACGTCTCTACACTTGGCGTTTCTTCTGCTATGATATTCTTGACAAACTTGGAATTTGAAATGAAGGGCATATGTGTAATTTTCACGTGGTCATGGCGCATTAAATGTAGCAGCCTTTGGCAGTTACTTTTCGTCATGCATAAGGCAATGTGTGGAGACAATTATGATTGTGGTAGTCTGACGGTTGATCGACCTTCGCGGATGATCGACATATGGCCACGTCTAATGGTCAAGATTGCTCGACGAATGGAGAGTTAAGATTCACTATAGGTCGACGGATACGATTGAATCTCATCCTTTCATCTCCCGTGCAAACCACTATAAAAGCGGGCAACTTTGTCATAAATCCTACACACTTTGCAAAAGTTTCCAGATTTCTTTGCTTACTCTGTTGTTGTTCTTCTGATTTCATGGTGCTTTTCTGGCGAGTTTCTTCCACCTTTTCGCTTCAGTAAGGTTTCTTTCTCTTCCTTTATTTATTTTTATGCTTTTTGCGGTTGAGGGTGGCCATTTTCGTGGCCACATTTAGCTTTTTTAGGGCTTGTTTGGGGTTTTTTGAGTGTGTTTCCGTCAGTTTTGGGTTTAAGAAGGGTTTACTATGGTGGCCGCCGGAATCCTGGTAGCTCACTTGTGTCTATTGTCCAACGCGAGAACCCTGAGTGCCTGAACTAAAAGCAAAGTATGGATAGGTCACCAAATTTTCGAGCTCTAACACTTGTTTGCTTCTGTTTCAGGTACCTAGAGGCAAGCTTTCATCATGTCTTCGTCGAGCAGCCATAGCAAGATTGCATGTTCGATTCCCCAGTGGGCTTATCAGTTCTGGGGGGCGTAGTCCTTGAAGTTTTTGAGGACCTCGTTGTGCGGAGCTTGGACCTCGATGAGGCGGGCTCTTTTGATCATGCTTCTGCAGAGGTTTCTCAGCTGAAGAAATCTCTAACCCATAAGCCTGGAAGGAACCACATTCCTCAATTGGGGCTAGGATCTTAAGCGCATAACTGAGATTTATGCGCCTCAACTTTCTTTGAGGGCTCTAGGAGGTTTCTCTTGGAAAAATCCCCACATCGGTTGTGTGGCGGTCTTTGATACCCTCCTAAGGTGTGGGATGTCCATTTCCCCTCATTTTTCATCGTTAGCGTTTTGAAACTATTTGACATTGCTCCCCTTCAATTGTCGGCGAACTCATATATAATTATTGTAGGCATGTACATAGCATACCAAATAGCTGAGATGGGCGAGCTATTTGTAGAAGAGCTCGTCCACTTGTATAGGTTAAAAAAGAGTTAGGACCAACATACTACCTCTGCAAGGCAAGGAAAGTACATTTTAACAGTTTGGTCGATGTCCCAAAGAAGATTCAGCATTAGGACTTTCAGGTTTTCTTTTATAAGGACAGGGAGACCAGCGATTTTGCTTCGGAACCTTACGCGTGCAAATAGTGTTTCCAAACTTGAATGTTGAACTAACCAAGTTCCTTTGCTCTACAGTAAATGTCGAGCATAATTTCCTTCCTGAAGTGAGCTTAGAGTGGTTTCAGTGTTTCAGCGATCTCTCCGATAGGGAGTACAACGTTACCGAGCTTATCATGCTTCCTCGGTTTAGAGCATATGGCTTTTGCATCGATGAAGTCAAATTCAACACCATTCTTGAGAAAGGTAAGTGTTTACTTGCTCGCTTTTTTTTTTTTTTTTTAGATCGCTGATTGTTTTCTTCTTCTTTTGCAGATATGTGGGCCGAAAAGCCAAAGGGCTTGAAGAAGAAGAGGGTGGCAACTAGGGCTGCCAAGAAGCCATCGGTTGCTCTGGCGAAAAAGCAGCTCGCTGATACTACCAGGACGGTTGGGCAAGGTGCCTTGTGCCTGGTCCTCAAGCGCAACGGTGGCAAGCTTGGGGAAGGCCCAAATGCCAAGAAGCCCACGACTGCCTTCAAGGCAGTTTGGGGAGAAGGGTTCCCCTGAGCTCTAAAAGGGCCCCGTGAAGAAAACCCCTGAGGCAACTAGAGGCTCAGGGAAGCAAAAAGTTTCCCAACAGCATGATGGCTCAGGCAAGAAGAAGGTGTCGGAGCAGTAAGAAGGCTTTGGCAAGAAGAAGTTGATCGTGCCACAAGGGGGCTCGAGAAAGCAGAAGATCACAGAGCAGCAAGGTGGCTCGGGCAAGGAGGTTGTAGGGTAAGCTGGTGGCCTTAAGAAATCTGTAGATAAGGACTTGGCCAAATAGAAGTCTGTTCCCATGAGTGAGGCCATCATTCTCGTGGGAAGTAAATCAAGCTCGCCTTAGTAGGGAGGCAAAAAGGCGACAAGGCAACTCAGGCCTTGCTCGATGCACTGATCAATGAGCTCCTCGAGCACATTGACATTAGGGCCTCAACGGTCAGGAATGTTGTCACCCTACGGACTTTCGCAGGTATTAGAGATTCATCTCCTCACCAGCAGCCTGCTTGGGCATGTAGCTACATGAGTCATGACCAAGGTATTGATAGTTTAACCCCTTTCCTTTTTTATATGCTTCTCCTTCTTCTTCGTTGACTCTCCTTTCTTTTCAGGCTTGCGTGGCAACCAAGCTTCTCTTCATTGAGAATCCTAGTTAGTAAATTTGCGTTTTATATGCAAATTATACACCCAACTGTATAATTCGCGTATAAAACGCAAATTCTCGTATTTTATAAGCACAACCCAATTATATGCCCCAACCGTATAATTTGCGTATAATTCCTGTATAATTCGGCTGTATTTAAAAAAAAAAATTGTTATTTAATGAGCCAAAACAACGTCGTTTTATGTGAAGTTTGGTCAAAATGATGTCGTTTTAGGCTTAGTCTCTTTTTTGGCGCCTTCTTCTCTTTTTTGGTACCTTCTTCCTCTCTTCTTCTTCAACTATTCTTCAACAAGTACCACTCTTCGTCTCTTCTTCTTCAACTTAATGACAAATAAAATTGTTTGTTTTGTTTAGTGATTGGTCCACTTCTACAATATTTGTAGTAATTAATTACGAATCAAATAATACAATTTTTATAAACTGAAATATTATAATTAAAAAATATATAAATCATACACCTATAAGGAAAAACAAAGGAGGATTAATTCAATGATCATACAAAGTGCTAAAATCAGGATTAATATTGCCATATTTTTCAAAACGTATTATTGACAATGTACTGTATTAAACCCATATATACCCGTACCATATTTTTCTCGTGTCCAAATTTTATGTCCGAATTTTTACAAACCTATTTTTCACCATTTACCGTATCATACCCGTACCATTTTTTTTCGTACCCGTATTTACTAACTAGGATGAGAGTTACCCCATATTGGAGGGTACTCATTTGGGGTGGCAGGAGGTAGAGAAGCTGAAGGAGGATGCCTTGGCTAGGGCCGACTTGGTAGAGAAGGAGAAGGACTTGAAGCAGGCCGAGCTTGATCGGCTCAAGAAAGAGGCCGAGGCCTTTGGGGTCAAGGAAAGAGACTTCCTTGACAAAATCAAGGAAAGCGAGACCGCTTGAGCAAAGACTAAAGCGAAAGTAGTCGAGACTGAGAAGAGTTTGGAACAACAGCGGGGTGCCAACAAGAAGTTGAATTCTGAGCTTACCACGGCTTAAAAGGTTGCCTCGGATTGGGAGGTCAATTATGAAAAGGCCTCGCTCGAGGTTACCAAAGAGTTGGAAGGTTGCAAAAGGGCCAAGGCTGAGGTTGAACAACTCAAGCTCGATATCGAGCAGCTATTGGCCATCAAAGAGGTGGAAGGTTGCAAAACGTCTATCTACTCTCCCGCCTATTGTTGTCAACCTTCCCCCAATTGCGCCTTGGATGGATGTCTCGGCTCTTGCCTCTGAAGAAGCTGCCAAGACTCTTACGGCCAATGATACTCCTGTGCCCGTTGGCGATGATCTCCCCAAGCCTA